GTCGGGTCTGGAGCAGCAGTCAGTCAGAAAATCTCTCAGTTGCTCAGACCACTTCCTATGCCTCCTTCTGGCTTAAATAATATGGAAGTGCCAATCAATAGGGCCAGTCATCATCCCCAGTCAGGATCCTCATGGTTTGTGCTTGCCCCTCACTTTCAGTAGTTCTGGATGAGTGGGCCAGAGGTGGCCAGAGTATGGAAGGCTGCTTAGGAACCTATACGGCCTGGATTTGAGATCCATGAGCCCTTACACATAGATTAGAAAGATTCCTCTCTATACCAGTGTTAGCTCTGGGACAGAAGGGAGGAAGTTTATACCTTCCTTTTTCAGATGCTGCCAGAGACTGGTGCAGCCCCTGGCACAGGTTAGCACTTTTCTAACTTGTGCCCCTGCTGCAGTGGCCTCTATGGGTCATTGCAGTGGCGCAGAATTGTTGGACCATAGGCCCTGGCCACTGTTAGTCCTGCTCTTGACACTGCCTTGACATGTACCTAGTGCCAGGGCCTCTTGCAGGGGATCATGGACCCAGTGGAGCTGCCTCTGTGACTCTTGAAAAGATCTCTTGCACCAGGGATTACTCCCCCAAAGGGTCCTGTAGCCCCTTTGTACTGGTTATTTGGCCATAGAGCAAGAGTCAGCTCTCCAAGCTGTGTTCAGACAACCACGAAAGATGAAGAGATACACATGGTCTTTCAATATATTCATTATAACCAAGCCCTGCCTCTTGTCTACCATGAAGGACACTGCAGAGACTACTGGAATTGTTAACTTGCTTAGTGACAGAGTAGAGACTGACAATAGGCCCAAAACCCAATAGCTATGTAAAGATATTAATTGAATTAAACATTAAAAATAAGTTATGCACTATCACAGTTTCTTTTGTTGTTGTTTATACTGTGATTCCTGAACACAACAAAATTTTCATTATATTTACTTATCAAAAAGGGTGTGCTATTTCTTACCTCAGATCAATTCAGGTACCATAAATCAAAATGAAACAGCTCTTCCGCCAGTCTGATTTTTGAGAGACAAGTGTAAAGGGAGATAAGAACTGCGCACCCTAATCCAGCATACTGCAGGGGAGCTGTATGAGCTTGAAGAGCCAGCATACTCAGACAATGAACAGATACTCTTCTGGAAGCACACTTTCTGTTTTCTCTCACATGCTTCCTAAACACAGGTGGTTAGACCACCAGCATAGTGCACATGAGCTATGTGGTAGGTGTACTATTGTACTGAGTGACATGGAGTAGGTGACAAAGAAGCTACTAACTGCTGCAGCATCAGATAATAAAATTAATTACTGTACTTAAATGAATTAACAAATTCTGACTGTAATGTGACCAGGAGAAAAAATGTGGAGGTTTATGCCTTTTCTCCAGTCATTATGCAATCACCTGAACAGATCATGTCTAAAAATCACATAAATCAGGCATGAAGGAGATAGAAGGTACAACCACATCCATCTCCTTCAGAGCCAGCCAGATATGACTCTTGTGCCTTCATGAATCTCACTGGAGCATAGTGTCTGTTTACAAGGTCATTGAGTCCAGCCCCCTGCCTTCACTAGGGCGATCAAGTACTGATTTTGCTCTAGATCCCTAAGTGGTCCCCTCAAGGATTGAACTCAAAACCCTGGGTTTAGCAGGCCAATGCTCAAACCACTGAGCTATCCCTCCCATCTACTCTTTGCTTTCCCCCGGCAGCATTTAAGTAACAAATAGTACTCCAATCAGTTATGCCAAAACACAAACTAAACAAAGAAGTAAACAAAAATCAATGTTGGCTTGTGTTCTGCTAGAACCAGGTTGGGAAAATCAGTCTGTGCCAGATAGGAAAGGACAAAGGGGGAAAATGTATTTTGAAAAGTTAAAAACAAAATGAAAATGCAAGTGTAGGTGCCCTCCTGTACCCCAAACCCCTGCACCAGCCCGCTGAAAATGAGCGCGTGAGCGAGGCTGGGGGAGAGTGAGCGATGGAGGGAGAGGAATGGAGTGAGCAAGGCGGGGCCTTGGAGAAGAGGTGGGGCCTCGGGCAGGGGGTGTGGCAAGGGTGTTCGGTTTTCTGCAGTCAGAAAGTTGGCAACCCTAACTGGAGCTTGTGCTACCATGGAGTGACAAGGGATGCCCGGACTCCAAAGCCAATGCAGGTTCTCTATTCAGATAGCTCTAACCTCCTGTAGAATCGTTTGGCAGCCCCCACAATGCCTACTGTGGGGGCACAGACTCCACTTCCCCAATAGAATGATCAAGAACCAAGAGGGGGCCTTCATAGAGACTTTCTCTTTCCTAGCCCCGTCTCCAAGGCCATCCTTAGGCATACGCAGTGTATGCGGCTGCGTAGGGCACCCAAAATTTGGGGAACCACTGGGACAGCAGGTAAGAGTGGGTCAGCGCCTGTACACCCAGCGTATGCTGCAGTCTCCTTAGGCAGGGGCCGTATTCACAGAGCCGAATGCGCCCACGCGGCGCATTCTGCCTGAGGGAGAGAGGGTACGGGGGTCTCTGTATGGAACTGTGACTCGCCGCCACCGGGCAGCTTGGTATCCTTTGCTGCCTGTGCCCTCCCCCGCAAGCTGCGAGCCTGGGCTGCCACAGCATCTGCTGCCTACAAAGCTCGGTATGTGTCAGCAATTGTGGGGGAGGCGTCTTCTGGGGGTCCGCAGTCACCAGTTTAATAATATTGCGTATGGCCATATAAATCCTAAGGACGGCCCTGCCCAGCTCATATATTTTTACTGTGGGAGGGAGAGTTTTTAGCAACTTGATTGTAATTTAACCTTTTGAGAAATCCCAGTGTTGAGCATAAAGGGATAAAACATTTTTTGGAACATGACAGGAAGGGTTGACTGATGTTATGTATTTTGTGTGGGGTTAAGACAGCTTGCTGCTATTGTCTCTTTGCAGGACCAAAATTTTCCTGTTAAACTATTTAACTGTTTATGTTTCTTAATAATTGTTGCTCTAACCTCCTATTAGGTTTTTTTTTTAATTTTCCATTTTTTGTAATGGTCTCCAGGAAATGTGACAATAACTTTCCTTTTTCTTGCTTTCCTATTGTTCTTCTCCATCTGGTAAACCTTTTTATTTTTCTGTTTTCCTACCACGGCAGCAGCAAAAATGTCTGCCTTTTGTTTATTTCTCTCTACACTAGCATCATGACATCATCAATTGTATTAGCAGGGGGGAAAAAAGGCATAGCTGTAGCTAAACCAGCTGTTCGTTAGCAACCCGTCTAGTCTGCCTTCATTTCTACTTATTAATGTATACAGCTATAGTGTTTCCCGCTTAAGAGCTCCTGAAGAATCCTCGGCCATGAGCCATCTGCTCCGCCACTGTCTTTAGGTATGCTGTGTGACCATATCAGAATGGTGGCATTTTAAAAAAAATTGCTGACAATGGAATTCTGAGTTTAAAGAAAATAAATGTTTAGAATCTGGACGAGATTCATCACCAGATTAACCTTTTAGTCGTGAGTAAATTTGGGTCATATCCTAGCAAATCTTATCTTTCAAACTGCTAATCAGTTTGGTAGTAAAATTTCTGTATGTGGAAGCTTTTTATTAAACTAGATAGCCAGGTTATTTTATTTGCGTCTTTAAACATTATTCTGATTGAGTTTTCATTATAACTCACAAACAGAGACTGCCCTTTGGTTGTATTACTTCAGGTGTGTGTTTGTCACAGGATGAGCCTGTTTCTGATGCCAGTGAAGTTAATGGGAGCTTCACCATTGACTTCATTGACTTGAGTGGCAGGAGGATCAGATCCATGGTTCTCAGTGTTCATAGGGTCCAGTCCTATTTCCACAGGAGTACATCACAAAACTTCCATTGATTTCAGTGAGAACAGGATTGGGCCCTTAATGAGCAACAAGCTGATAATTACGTATTCTAAAGAGGGAGTTGTTGAAAAGGATAACAAGTGGGTATTTTTCATTTGTAGATTGTTAATGAATAAACAGCATTCCTGTTTACTCAAACTGCAATAAATAATTCTAGAGTTAATTAACTACTTTTATAGAAAACCTGTACCCCTGCCCTGTAAATGTCATGATTAATTATTTATGAGTTACTAGTTTTCAGAGAACTAGAGAGGAATTCTGTGATCACCAGCACTATGTTAACATTTTAAATGATAAGAATGTCTCATGCACTCTTTTTTTGAAGAAATTAGGCTGTCTCAAAATGTTCTGAAATTAATCATCTGTAATAATAATGTTAAGAATAGTCCTTAACCATGTATCCTTTTTTATGTATGTGCTTTCATTATTTTTTAAAATGTAGTTATCAGCCCCATGTAAAATACCTTAGGTGAATGGCAAAGGAAGTTAACAAATACAAATAAATTGATTTTATTTCTTTGTGTAATTATAACTAAAATACAGTAACTGGATATCATCATAAAAAGTAGATTAAAATCTTCATGGCAGAGTACAATTTATCATTTAGATTCAGGGCCTGATTCTGAAAACTTTACTTAAATCCTTACTCACCTGAGTAGTCCTATTTGAAATCATTCAGACTAGTTGCATGAGTAAGGGTTGCCAGATCAGGCCCTTGATTGTTAACACGAGTCTGAATTATGATGTTTCTTTTGGGGGGAAATAATCATTCAGTAGCTCTGGTCTCCATAAAGGGATACATATTGGCAGCCTAAGTGTTTAATAAAGTGTTTTGATAAAATAACAGTTAACAGGAATATTATCCCTTTAGAATATTAATAGCAATGAATGTTATATGAGGCATAACGTAGTGCAAATTATCACCGGAAAAATTATAATTCACTTTTAAAAACTCCTCTGAATTCCACCTTTTCTGTAATGGAAAAAAAAGGTTGTGAGGGGATTTCCATAAATTTGCTGCCTTAATGAGTTAAAGCAGCTTTATAATTTGTTATTCCTTCCTCATAGTAGACCTCAGCTGATAAAAATATCCATAGATAGTGAAATCAGTGGCATGCCTGGCTTTCTCAGACAAAACTCCCATGTGATCATATAGGCAGCCTCAGTGAGACTGAAGCTGCTCAGCTAGCAGTAGGTAATGAGTCTTTGTGCAGAGTGAAGCTCTTGTCGCTGAACAATAAAGCATATGGTACCAGCAATAAAACACAGTGCTGGGAAATTTAAGAAGATTCTGTTGGAAGTAGGAAGACAGTGAATATGTCACACGTTATAAAATGATGATCAATCTATTTTGGTTCCTAATTAATAAAAAGAGTGCATGGATTGGAAAAACAACATTTTGAACAGGTCAGTTATTTTATAGATTATTAAAATGTTTGTGTTTTGAATTTAATCAGTGCTTTAGCTACTTTTGCTTTTTTTTTAAATATTTTTTTTTGCATTTGGAAAGGTGTGGCTTGAGTGATGCACATCATTTTGATATCTAGCTAAATAAATTGGTTAAGTACTATAATCAGATTTGTTCTACAAATATTTTTACTATAACTCCACATCAGACTTCATTTAGTCATGAAATACTGAATAGTCAGTAAAAAATAAAATTAATGCTAAAATGGATCTGTTGCCAGTATAGAAATATAAAATATTAAATAGCAACATCCATTATTCTTCTGTGTCTTCAAGCTCAATATTTTCTTGATAGGAAATGTGTTGCATCACTGTTATTTATTTTATTTTAAAAATGATTAATTTTGGAACATAAATAACAATGAACTTAGATTTTTCACATTGTTTTTTCTGGAGTATCTTGAAAATGGTCCTTATAGAAATATAAGTCTATATACACACATGAATGATTCATTATGAAACTGCATTCAACAAATTCAGACAGTGTTAGCAAGATGGATTATATTTTACTTTGTATTTTTCGAACAGGTATTAATTTCAGTTCGTAATTCATATAGTTGATGTACTTTTTATTTTTAAAAACGGTCCCAATGATCCTAATGGCCTATGATCACCTTAATACACAGTATAGATATAGAGTTTCTCTGCCACATTAGTGGTCTAGAGATTAGGGTCTTATTAAAACGTCTTTGTTTTTAAATGATTTTACAGTAGCGTTTTTCTCATTGCTCCAGCACTTTAAAAGACACAAGATGCATATACTGGCAAATCTGAAAGAATTTGAATTGCTAATTTTTAGAGAGCGTTTCAGCAATAGGGAAGTTGAATGTTTGAATAGGGAGGATGCTGTCTGTAGGAAGAGAAGGAAAAGAAGTAGAAAATAGAACATTGAATCTCTTCCTAAAGCCAGATCAGCATTTTTACATTCTTTGATATAATTGTAATGATTTAAACTAAAATATGTATTTCTAAAAATAACATCTCAAATGGTTTAAAAATTTAAAATACTTAATATCCATGCATCCACAGTTTTGGCACATTATTTGATTGTGATTTATACTTGGGAGGATTAGCAGTCATTTTATTGCTGATTATTAATTATAGTAATGATCAATAAATGTAAATCATTCTGTATATTGCCTCCTTACATTAATACAGTTTTACTATTGTATCTGTAACTGATGCTAATTCATGTCAAGGCATCTGAATCAAGGTGAGTATGCATTAACTCATGAATTTCAAAATACAATATTGAAATAGATCCTTTTAAAAATAAAACATCTGGTGAGCTATATTTAAAAAAGCAGAGGGTAGTTGCTGAGACTTGCATATCAGCCTTCTACATGTATTTAAATGAAGTATTTGACTGTTCTGGTCACCTTGGAAACTAGCTGCTGCAGACTGACTGTTTTTTGGTGGGTGCTTAATATACTTGAATTAAAATAAAATATCTGCCTCCTAATAATCACAATAGGAGATATGCTTTTGACTTATCAGTATGTAGTGGCAATAGCTTTTTCTCTCCACCATCTCCTCCCCACCCCCAGCTCTCCAGTGATTCAGGTATTCCGTCTGAACTGCAGCTCTACAATTTCTTACCCAGCATTCCCTTTTTGTTGCTGGCAGGCCTTCACCAGCCTTATGTAAATGAGACAAGCACAGTAGCTTTAACTGCAGAGGGGGGAGAAATGAGTTCAAAGGTCACGGGGCTGTGGAAGGCTGTAACAGTTGACTGAAAAAAATATACTGGATACTGCAACAGTCTGTAGCTGCTATAAAATGAAGCAGACTTTTTGTTTTCTGTGTTAGGAAGTTCTTACAGCTTTTCTGCAACAATTGTAGTACACTGTCTACAGGTATGGGTTGAAAGATGATATGTTCTGCATCATTTGCTTTGATTCATACATGAAGTTTTTTTAAAGTTTTAATTGTTTTGTATTTGTTGCTTTGGCTTTGGAGTTGTAATTCTTCTGCTGTGCTGCTTTCAGGTGAAATGCTCATACTTTGTTGCCTTAAATATATTCTGTTTTTCTCCTAATTTGAAAAACCAGGTTTTAAAAATGTTAAATGTAATACATGCTAATTTGATTTAAGGGTATTTAATTATGTATAAAATATTTCCTTACCTTTTGAACCTTGGATGAGCGGGGGGAGGGAAAACCACTCCTTAACTGGATGTACAGTTTTTTAATCATAAGACAAATAAATCAAAGTACCTGTGAATGGTTCTCGTTTGGCAGGAATTTTTTAATACCTTATTGTTTGTTTTTAAATTAGGGGAAAAAATTCTAATTTCTTGGTATTTCTTTTAAAAATATAGAAGTCCCTTGCATACATCATCATTATTATTGATAGAATTTAAGTGCAGATGCTGTGAAGTCATCAAAGAAATCATGGTTTTCTTTTGCTTTATATAAAATCAGATTTTTTTAATTTAAAAATTTCCTTAGACAAACATCTTAATTTTGGGAAGAGTTTCCTGTATGATATGTATATTGCTTTTAATTATACAATGTAGAGAGAAATGCCATTTTATTTATGTTATACTGTCTACCTTATTAGTGAAACCCTTTTTAACTTCGAAAGACTGTTAGTGGTTTCTTGATAACCATTTATTTATTCTCTGGGCAGAGACCTTGTTTTCATCTTAACATATTAAACTTATCATGACTTTTTAATTTATCTTTGAGCTCTGATATGTTTGCTTTGATTAAAAACAGGTGAACTCTCATGGTTAATTTTGTGTGGTATGCTAACAGAACACTTAGTGCCAAATCCTGCAGTCCTGACTCAGTCAGCTTCAATAGGATTCAGACAGAGTCTTTCTTGTCTTGTAAACTGTAGCCATACAAGTAGTCCTTATTCAGTGGTCCCAGCATAAGGTGGTTGTATGACTAAGCACTGCAAGATTAGAATCTACTTGACTGAGTAAAGTGAGGAAAATCCTGCCTGAAACGTAACTTTTCATAAAATATATGATTAAATTTTACTTAATATGTGCCACATCCTGTAAAGTGCTTATCAGTCTGGCCCGGACCCAGGAAAGTCATGTGTTTGTTTGAGTGCTTTCCTGGATCAGGACCAGAGCAATCAACACCTTGCAGCATCAAAATATATGTCCTATACATCATTTAGAATCCAATCCTGCAAGCATTTTCACTAGGATCTTCAAAGATGCTTTAGGAAGGTAGATGCCCAACTCCCATTAAATTTCAGTGGAAGTTGGGAACCTGAGTCCCTGAGGTGTCTTTGAAAATCCCAGCATCTACATCTGGAGTTCCTATCAAAGCCAATTTGGAACCCATGCAGGATCAGGCCCTGAAATTTCTTTCTCTTTTGTACTACATCTTACATTTCAAATAATCTTTGGGAGGAGGGCATATATTTTAATGAACAGAACTGAATGAGAAAAAATGCTCTAAAGAACTGTCTCAAAATATATTGTGTACATTCAACCATCACTTTATATGAAGCATAATACTAATGAACAAATAGGAGTGTTATCTGCCCTGTTCACTGGCAAATTTTATTGTACAAGTTTGAAAGAATCTGTTGCACAAGAAGTAACAGAAAAAAGAAAGCTATATCTAGCCATGTAATTACCATATTTGTAATTACCATATTTGTGTAAAACAAACCTGATAAATTTTAAGATTAGATTTATGAGGTTGTTAAGTACTTACAGTAAACATACACTCATAAATTTAACTGCTTCTTCTAAAATTACAAGAGGAGCATCACTGTAGAACAGCATCCCCGTAGTTCTAATGAAATCATAACATTTGGGTATGTGTCTCCTTTTTTATATATATATATATCTAAACAGATGCAGAACAGTCTTCCTTTGGATACAATCTAAAGAAATTGTTGTGTTGTATGTTCTAATAGACTGGGTCTTTTATTCCTGTTCTGGATGTTAGCTTAGAAAATGAAAGAACTGATTTCAGATTTTGTTCCGTTTTTGTTTTGTTCTGTGACTGGAGCACACAGATGTGCCATGTTTTGCTGACAATTTCTGATAGTTTCCAAAACATCCTACATTAATAACTTGGGCCTAATGAAAGATAAATAGATTATCTATATTTTGAATGCTAGCTAATAAGATTTTTTTTTAAATCATGATAGAATACAATATTTTGTTCACCATAGTACAACATTAGTGTGAATACAGAGGTTTGATTCTAATCACAATTACTGTTTACACTGTAATACCATTGACTTCAGTGGTTTTATTCATGATGTACACCATGTGCAAGAGGTCAGAATCTGGCCCAGAATGTCTTAGACTGGGTATTCATAAACCAAAAAAATAATCTAATCTTTGTCCAATGGCCTCAAGAAATTTGGCCTGGTTTATTTAACAAAAGGAGAAAACCACCATTGTTTAGAACTATCTATCTTATTTGGTCAGATAGATGGATTAATCAAAAATAATTTACAGTTTCATGATTAATTCAGAGGCTAAAAGCCAAATTTTAAGGTGCATCATAATTACATTTTTCCATATTTTTAAATACACTTCGTTTGGAATAATATTTACTGAAGAATGTCCCTACTTGTTGGAAGGCTCACCCCCTCAAAAATGGACATGTTCTCCTTAGCAAAGCAGTAAATGAATTTGTTGTGTATAAAACTCTTATTTGTTCTCAAAAGATACTTCTAATAACTGAACCTTGAAGTTTAAGCACTTATCTCTTTAAAGGAACAGATGGCAGATCATGCTGAAGTGAGACAGGTGTAATCTTTTGTGAGATTGGTAAAGGTTTTTGAAAGATAAATTGTCTCGTTGTCTGTCAGCCATCTATCTTTGTCATCATTCTGAACCAGTTACAAAGTTGAGACAAATTGTGCCATCCTCTCAGCAAAATATCACGGAACACCATAAAATCTATACAATTTTGTTTCCATTTGAACAGTTTTGCTAAGTGAGCTTACATTAT